GTGTTATCTTTCAATTCTTTTAGTTTCATTTAGTCTTTAGTCTTTTAGATATTATCCCAGATTTTTCACGTTCAATGTTATCTTTCAATTCTTTTAGTTTTATTTAGTCTTTAGTCTTTTAGATATTATTATAACAGATGGAAGTGCTTCAAACTGTAGTCACTCTATTCACACGTATACATTATACAGGGGGTCCTTGGTGTACGACGTCCTCGTCTTATGGCGTTACATCGCCACATCCCCTACGTATACGTTTATTAAGAAAGTCTTGTTCCCTCAAAAACAGTGGTATGCTTTTTACTTTTTTCTTATTGGCTGACCTAATTGCTATTGGCTGTGACTAACTCCATGTCAGAGCAATAGTTTTTCTCACCAACAGCTTCAGTTCTCCTACATATTTTGTGAGATGTAATATGTAATTATATGTAAGATCCGACTTACGGCAAAAATTCAGGTTGCAGTGCTGCTAGGAACCTGAGCCGGACCTAAGTTGAGGACCTATTGTATACTGTGCACTCCATTTACAAAGTGCTAGCTCTTTTGCCACATGAAACCTGGGGTTCTGTATTTCCCAAGAATCCATTTGTAGCCTCTGTGTCTAGCTCCTCTCTAAACATCAAGTGTCATGATAATATGGAATGACAGGATTTTGAATGCCTCCCTGTCAAGGTGGACGAGCTGTGTCTGTAGAGGAAGAGGAGGAGGAGGAGGAGGTGGACGTCTGTAGAGGAAGAGGAGGAGGAGGAGGGGGGATAATAATATAATATAATGCCAATAATTCTGAACAGAGACATGCATTTAATAACATTAATGCAGCTGATAAATGAAGATTAATGACGGTTCTGGAGAAACTACTTTTCTCTTCTCCTCTCAGCCTCTCCTGGCAAACACAGCTGGGACAAGGTGCTTCGTTTTCAAATCCTTTAAATAAGTGTTGTAATTATCTGCCTGTGTGTGCGAGGGGGAGCATGGAGTCCAGGAAAGATTAATGTTGAGCAGGAGCCGGAGCCCCGATGCTGCCGAGCCTTCCTTATTGTTGGGAAATGAATTGGAAAACACCTCTTCACTCTGGTTAACCTTTTCGCACTGACGCTGCAGGGAAAAAAACAAACTCTAATGTCCGTCTAATTTATCTTCTTAAATCTCGGCTACTACAAATAAACTGCCTCGAACCCAGTAACAGTAGGATTACATGGTTAAACAATACTGAAAAATGATGCAATGATGAAGCGAGGTGAAGTCTGTCTGTCTCCCTGCTGTGATCACACTCACCAGTGTCTCTGTCGTTAGTCTAACTTTAGTCACCTGGTGCCCTGGGTGTGTGTACCTCCCTCCCTCACTCTGTCCTAACTTTAGGCACCTGGTGCCCTGGGTATGTGTACCTCCCTCCCTCACTCTGTCCTTGTCAGGTCATTGTGATTGTGGAGTGTTAATGGTCCTGCATTTTTTGTTCCAGCATTCCTGTTCCTGATTCCTTGTCTTCGTTGCTGTTGTTTCTACTTGGTGCTGTTCTGGTGAGTTCCAGTTAAACTGTTTTAAATACATCAACGTCCTTCACCTGATCAATGTCTCTCAAGCGCTGCATTTGGGTCCGACCTTCACCAATATGTAACACATCATCTATTTCTTTCCAAATTTTTAGTCTCTGTTTAAATAAATATGGATGGAATTCATGAGAAAACAGCAAAGATGAGTATATGCTGCCTTGTTTTAATAGGACATAGTGGAAATAAAAAGATGAGATATCTGGTTTGAAACTCACGGTAAGACTTTTTGGACAACATATTAAGGCTGAATATTATGGACATCCAGAATGAAAACCCAAGGACGCACAGTGAGAACTAGGGATAGCTCGATCCAATACTCGGGATCGATATCAAGTTTGAACTGTGCGATCTGACACCTAACCCCTATGATCAACTTAACTTTGTGCAACCTGCTATAGCAGGGACACTATCGCCTCAACAACTGCAGCACGCGTGATGCCGGAGGAAAGGTGTCGGATTGATATCGGTATCAGCAGATATTCCGAGTTGCAGTATCAGTATCGGACATGAAAAAGTTGTATTGAGTCATCCTTAGTGAGAACATTACAGGGAAAGAACATCCATTACTGCCTAGGCTCGAACCTCCGATACACTGGCTGTAAGGCTAGTATGCTACCCACTCTGTGGCCCATGGCTGATCACAATAAGACTAATCTGGCTAATATGTCTCTGTAAGCATTGCCATCTCTGTAATATATGTGGTAAATTCCCATGATGTTACAAATTTGAAGGTTGCTCCTTGTGCGGTATCTAAACTGCTGGTTAATCCGTAATAACTGAGTTGGGAATAAGAGGAGAGTGACATCATGATGTTTTGTTAGCAACATGCTAAAAATGAAGCAGATTAGATTTAAACTTGATTTCTGTCATAGTTGAGTCATTGGTCTGCTGCATCTGCTGGCTGATTGCATTGGTAATTAATCAAATTATTTTTTGTTTGAAAAGCACAGTCAGAGTGAGTGTGATCCATTCACAAACTTTTCATTTAATTCTACAGAGAGCCCAGGCAAAGCGCCTGAAGGTGGCAGACCTCTGGCCTGGTTCCATTTCGAAACTCTGTAACTACTTTCCCTGTTTTCTACCTCCAATTAAACCCTTGGGGTAATGACCATAAAAAGTGCCATCCTCCTCCGCTCCCTGTCTTTGTATTTGTACATAACAAGAGCAGAACATTTTGATTAAAAAAAAAATGTTGCTCTTCTTTCTCGTGCCCTCCAATATTTCTCATCACATAGCAGTTTCTCCAACTGCTCTTCTCCCTGTGGTTTTCCCTGAGTAAAAATGGGTCACCTTCCCTCTGTCAGGAGTGTCCCCAGCAAACTTTCCCCTGAAATTTGTATGCATTTGCCTGCCAGGTTTTTACCATCAAGAGGAGGGAGGGGGTCCAAGCTGTGGAAAAGTCATATTCAAGGACCAATTTTTCTAGGGCTTGTTGCAGGAAGGTTGATTTCACAGAATCACAGTGGGATTTAACTTCAGGTTTGTACTGTGGTGATTTAACATATTGGTCCAATCACTTTGAGGCGTCGACGGCAAACCTTCAAACTGCTTCATGTGTCGCGGTGAAGTGAGTTCTGAAGCCAACAGGCTTTAAACCTGGAAGGAAAATGAATTCCGTTGCCTATCGCTGCAGTTTGTCGCTAGTGAAATTAATCACCGTGGGTGTGAAAACAGAAGGATGTTAACATACAGCCTACACAGCAGGGGGGGTAGTTTTGTCTACGTTCTCTACCTGGCCCTTGTTTTACATCATTCCACCTGACAGAAACACGACACCTCCCGTCTTTGACACTGCCCGTATGTGTGTGTTCGTGTGTGTCAGCAGACTTTGAAGTGAGCGCATGATACACTTCAAACAGGATCACATAGACTTTGTCTTTTTTTTTTTTGAGAGGAATGAAGGTTTTTCTTTTCTTCCACCTCCTGACAGAGTTCACTCTGCTACCTGCTGCCGTCTGTATTTTACCGTCTTGTCTCCAACATTTCATGACCTCTTCATCGCAAAGCAACCTCTTAGAGTCATTACATCAGCAGGTGCAATCGTTGTGTAACTTAAATTAAAAAGTGAGCGACGTAACTTGTGAAACGCACGTTTGTGTTAAAATGAAAGCAAATTTACCAGAATAAAAGAGGGAATCTATATTTATAGGTAAATACCAACTTACTTTGGAATTCCTACAGCGTGACCTAGCTTAATTTTCGTAAATGAACTCACGTATTGTACATAAGTATCTCTGTCACACAGCTACACTTACAGCATGGAGCTATAAGGAAGAGCGAAAACTTCCCAAACAACAACACAAATGAAAGAAAGTGATTGTTCCACAATCCAATGTATGGTGTACAACTGGGGAACGTAAACAAAATTGTCTTCTGCGTGCATTGCGGCATGACAAAGTATTATTCCCTGTGCACGCCAACTAGTTCCCATGTGAACTAGATGAGTTTTCACAGCGTACGTCGGAATGATGGAACGAGACTTTCTAAATACATTTATTAAGCGACGTAAACACAAAACGCCCTCAATTGTGCATGAATAACAGGCACGCATTATCTATCAGTCTGTCCTGTACAACCGTCTTCTTTTTCAACTATAATACAAAAGTGGGTCAACAAGTTCTGACACACAACTGATCACTGTATTGTGATCTACAGTATATGCTCAGTCCAAAAACATATTTTGAAGCCAATGACAACATCAAATTTCAATACAAACTTTAAAAATGTACTTAATAAAAGGATTAAAGTTTTGTCCCCCCCCCACCCCTCAAACAGTTAGAGCTAGGGATGTCTGCCATAAACGTTTTGCCGATATCCCGATATCAACCGATACTGATATAGGCCTGGTAATACTTACTAATTATCTGTACAAACCACTGTATCAGTATGAGATTATTTAAATGAGATGCAATGCTGCCATCTAGTGACTTTCACTTTAATATACATCCGTTTATCCCCTAAACTATTTTTAAGGCACAAATCATTTCGCGAAACCCAGACATTGTGTTATCGGGTTTTTATTATCGGAGGAAAAACCGATAACGCTTCATACAGATACTACATAATTACGCTAATATCGGGCCGATATTATCGGACATCCTAGTTAGAACATTTAAAGGCAAATTCCATAAAACCACTTGCAGACGTTTGAAGACTTCAATGAGAACATGTATAGAGGTTTGTTTATTTTTGTGGATAAAGATATTTCCGTCCACTTCGGCTCGTATAAATTCTAATGCAAAACGTTGCTCAAAGGTCAGTGTGATATTCAGCAAAGGTCAGAAACATTCCCACTGGAGTTCTATCTGGCCAAATCTTGAGCCACATCTCGAAGGTGTACAGTGATATTACACACTTCTTGTATTGTGTACAAGGTGAAGCTGGACATAAAATGAAGTAAATAGTGGTGTAGCAGTGTTGGCTGTGAAGGATTACAGTGTGTGCTGACCGTACCGAAGTGTAGAGGTAGCCCTCGCTGTTCATGGCGACATAGAGACCAGTCTTGGTGCTCTGAATGGCCACTATCCTGAGACCCACAGGAATCAAGTTGAACTGCACTGTAAAAAACAAAAGAAAAAAAAAAGACAGGGAATCAGATAACAGGGAAGTTAGGACAGTCATTCTTCTCCTTAAATGATAGTTTTCCTTGTGGCGTAGGGAGACAATTGCTTTCCAGCTGTCTCCTATTTCATCCTCCCCGTCGTACAGTATAGCTGTCAAAAGCTCAAGTAGGAAACGTGTGAAAAAGAGAGGGAGGGATTATGTGAGGGAGATTTAAAAGGATCAAGTCTGGAATGAGATGGAGAGACAGAGGGAGTGATGGAGACAGAGGAAGAGAGAGCGCTTTGTGAATACAGTACATTACAGCAACATTTCCTGAGCCTGCTCTGAATTCACCCCCCCCCCCCCCCCCCCCCACCCCGACACGTGGACTTGGCTGAGTCGCTGTCTCTCTACTTTTGCATTTCTAACGTGTGCAGCGCTCTCTCCATGAATGCATTTTAACCCGACTACCAGTCTGATATAAGTGTAATGATATTTTTGATGTTCGACTTGGTGTTTTTATTATCGGTTATGATGTGATCGATGGAAAATGCTGGTATTTATGCAGCTATAAGCCGACCCCTGATTTGATGGTTATTTTATGGTGTTTCAAATTTGGCTTATACGTGAGTATGTACGATATGTTCGCAAACACAGAGCCATGTGTTCTTGTGAAACAACTCGATTTTAGTCATGCTCTGCCTGCAAAATAAATGGATGTTAAGTTATCAGATGGCAACAACTCTTTTTTTATTCACTATTAGAGGAAATAATCAGATCAGGTCAGATGGACAGGTTTATTTGAAACATCAGCAGTGAAGACTAGTCACACATCACCCCTCTCTCTCTCTCCCTCCCTTCCTCTCTCCCCCTTTGTCTCTATCCTGAGGGCCCTCATTCTATTTACTGGATCGATCGCTGCATCTCAAACACTTCAGTTTCGCAAATGAACAAAGTGTCACCAAAGACCAGTGGCTGGGATGATAAATAGTGAAGCACACAAATACACACACACACACACACACACACACACACACACGTTGCTTTCCTGTTTTCTGTGGAGCTTATGACCCCACATGACCTACTCCACACTGAGTGAGCAGCACCACACATACAGCACAGGGCTCTGCTCAGGTGTCTCTGCTTGAAAGCTGACTTTATTGCCTTTTCCTGAATTTTATTTCTACCAACAATATGCAGTATGCAGCTGGATATGAAGTATTTGCTGCCACTAACTGCCCCAGGTAGCAACTTTAGTAGCAGTGAATTGTAAAAAAAACAAAAAAAAACCAAAAAAAAAAAACCACCATGACTTTGGGGACTAAGATTTTGAGAAGAAATGTCTTTGGCGTACGGCTGAGCAAATAACTGACATTGTATGTCTCCTAATAAACGTTATATATGCAGTCACTTCAGCGCCATCTGCTGTGTGATTAAATACCTTTTCCCACTGCTCTGATAGAGCCATCGTCCATTAACAGGAGCTGGTCATTTTCACCCATTTCTTCCAATGTCTGTTCTGTGTGATATAGAACAAATGAGTTTTCCATCAAAATGACTTCCATGAAATCCCTGAAGTTTTGACTTTTTTCCTTAAACTCTCATCTACTTTCCTTGTTTCGTCTTCTCATCGTTCTTAATCATAAGGAGAGGTCATTTCTAGTCATTTATCAAAGAGAACACAGAACTACCAGAGGAATAACAAGGTGTTTCTTCTGTTCTCTTTCTTTGCTTCAGCTTGTATTGAGGACGATCCTTGAGTAATCAGAGGTTGGTTTTTTTTTTCTTTTTCAGCAAAAAGCAGAGGACGGAGGCAGTGTAGAAATAAATAAAGGGAAAGGAAAGAGTCCGTTTTGGGACCTGAGATTGTTTCAATAAATAAAGGAGGAAACGGTGAAGGCGACTTATGTGGGTTACGCAGTAGAACACACTGAAACACTGCAGAGGGCATCTGCAGGTCAGTACACAGTGATACTGCTCTAATCAGCAGCCATAATAGAAGATTAGAGTCAGTGCGAAGCCATTCAAAGTCCAACCACTGCACAGACATGCTTTTTTTAAATTCCACTTTCTTTGTGAATGACTGAAGACCATATTAAAATAATAGATTTGAAGGCTATGAAAGTGGATGTGTAAACACAGCCTCTGATTGGTTAGCCACGAAAGCTTACTCTGCCTTAGCCAATCATCATCAATTATGCAGTTGTATATATATATATGTGTATATATATATATATGTGTGTGTTTATATCTATCTATCTATATATATATATATATATATATATATATATATATATATATACACATATATACACATATATATGGAGGGAGAAAGGGAAAGTTGGCCTGTACGTAGACACTTGATTCAGTACCGTATCTTACACGTACACTATGTTACACTAAGTACTTACTTAACTTATGTACTTTTCTATTTATTTATTTTTTTGTGATTTGTATTCTTTCTTTAGCGGGCACCACACTCACATTTATCGACAATTTCATGCTTTATTTCCATGGTCATCATGCGTTTCTTCTTCTCACCACCATCCTCACCTCTTCACTCTCTTAGGACTTATCACTACTATGAAGAATAATGCACAAAATAGAGAGAAAATCACATAGATAACGCAAACACAAGACTCGCAGGAGATGTGGACGGAAGTTGACGAACACGTGAAGTGAACCAGTTAGGTGGCATGGGCTGCTCGGCCACTTAGCATCAGCGTCTGTAAGCGTGCTTGTATGTCAAATCTTTACTTGTATCCTGAAGCAAAAATGTACTCGAAGGCTTGTTCATACCTCGAGATCCCACTGTATTTGTGTGTTGCAATTTTTCATTGCTTTAGCAATAAATATTCCAGGGCTGTAAAAGTTTAAGGATTTCAGTTAACTAAAGCAAAATGTAGACATTTTCATTGCCCATATTTGCACAGGGAAGTTTCTAAAATGCACCAATTTTTTAAAGGACATTTTCACAAAGGTTTTTTTTTACCATCTGTCTTTCTCTGAGAGGATCACTGTTGTAGAAGGGCATCAATCACCGGTGTGAACAGTCAAGTGTCAGTCATGACGTGGTCATTGTTGTATTGTTGTTGTTGTTGAAACCCCCCACAGATGCTTTTGACTGATGTAGATTTCTCCCCTAATTATCACAGCGTATCGTCTTGAAGTCAGTGATGTGATATTGCCTTTGAAGTTTACTTTTCATTAACAGCAGACCTTCATGGCTCTCTGGAGGAATTTGAAACATCTGCTCTTGTTCTTATCTTTTATAGCCACCATTCACAGAGCTGACTCATTCAGGCACACAACAGCACAGCCAACTGCCTGCCCATCTCCTCTCTAACCTAAAGGCAGATACATCTTTTTTATATTTATGTTTTGATGATCCACCAGCTGGATTTTGTCTGCCGTCGCCGTTTTTTTCTGGCTTCATAAATCTGTACGTGCCAACTAAATCAAACCCATCAAGTTTAAATACCAACGTCTGTGCCGCTAACACTGATGTCAAACACTGATCCGTCCATCTAATCCAAGGTCTCTTCTTTCACACATACCGTGATTTTTATAGAACAAATAATCAGGGCTTTCGCAATTTAAAATTTAGGACGTGAATAAAACAAAACTTCCATTTACGGCCATTATTCATGTATTAATTCGATATTTAGACTTTCTAAATAAGATTTTGAGAGAAAGATAAAAACAGCTGTTTTTTATATATTTTATTTAAAACTTTGTATTATTTTTTTCAAATATTCTTTCAGATTGTGAGGCATGTTGAATTATACAGAAAAAAAAGTTTTTCCATATTTTTCAAAATGTTGATTTATAGCAATAAATCCTAATCCGTAATAAATCGTGATTAATCAGAATAAAATTTATAAAAAAATGACAGCCGTAATGTAAAAACATTCTAGACAGATATAAGATAGATACACAAGCGGACCGACAGTTACTTCGTGTTGTAGGAAACTCCACATCACCACTGTTTGAATTCTAAAAGTCTAAAAAATCACAAAACATTGTGAAAGAAAACCGAGTTGCTTTGTATCGCTGTCACATCAACCAGCTTTCTGCTATCTCTCCGTTTTCTCACACTGTCAGAGGAAGGGGCTTTAAAGACTCAATACAAGATTAAATGATTTGTGGCTGAGCTTCATGCCTGATTTCCCCGATGGTCAACGACTCTGAAGACGACTACTTCTTATTTAACTCGGGCTCCTTCCCTCAGGCTTTCCTCTCCTTATCGTTCTTCCTTTCAGTTCATCTCACATTTCTCCTGTTTTTTTCTTTCTCCTCTTCCTCTTCCTCTCCCTCTCTCTCCCGTGGGTGCTCTGGGACTTTCTTTGCCTTGTCAGGAAGTACCAACCGCTCCCTATCACAGTCGTGAATCTTTGGTGCGTTTCACACCTTTTCTTCGCTCTATTTGTCCTCATTTTGTTTTATTTCTAGAAAGTCACGTTAGCTCCACATTTCCCTCCATGTTTATTGGTCTTGGTCCCATTTTGCCCTGAAGCTGTCCAAGTCCACTGTCTCGTGTCGTCCCAAACTCCGTCTGCTCCTTTGTCACACCAGCTGAGACAGGTTTCTGTCTTAGTTTCATAATATTTTGCCTTTTAATGGTCACATATCTCCAACGAAGATGAGAATCACTCATCACATTCACTTTCAAGTCTTTAATTTATGTTCCAATTATCAATGACCTGGTCAAGTTCAATATCAGGAGCGGTAGAGTTGGTTTCAGCAGTGGGGAAATTACTAAGGATGGACGGGTTCAAGTGTCTTTGTTTTGTTTTTTACAACACACTGATGCTCTTCTGTGTGTTTACCTGATTTTGTTTTCTTTATATTTCCGACAGTTTCAGTGGGCTGTTTTCTTTCTTTTTTTTTTCTATTTGTTTGGATTGTATTCTTGGCATCATTTGTTGTCAACCTATGGGGCTTGGACTAAAATTTGGGTCATTCAGTTCTGGGGTGCACAGATTATTATTATGATGATGATAATGATTATTATTATTATTAAGTCAGTAATTATTTATCAGTGTAATATATATGTTTATTTTTGTTTCTACTAATTGGACTAGCCTCTTCTCGCATGCTAAGAAAACCCATTTGGTATTGTGATTCTTGCACAAACGCATTCATTCAAAGCTGTTTTTTTATGTATTGCATACATTTGTTTTTGTCTTTTCCTCTATATATCATTTTCTCTTTTTAGATTTTTTAGATAAACTGGTTCATTGCTAAATTAAGTCGAGGGACCCCTGATTTATCGCCTCTGCTGCACAGTCCAAGGTTTGAACCATGTTTCTATTGTATTCCAATGTGAGAGAGAAAGAACATAAAATAACATCAA